CTGTTATTATTTTGATCTATTTAAGGACTCGGACATCCTAGGCTTTGTATCTTTTGACAGAAGAGGCGTAGAAACACACTCTTTCACCCTCTGGAAGCGGATTTGGATGCAGGGTTTTTCTAGGGTTTTTCTATCTCATTCTTTTCCATTGTACATCTAGTTTCTCCAAGTCAATAGGAAACTAAATTCTATTTGTTGTTGGGGGATGATGTAACCTTGTGAACTTTCATGTATTTGAATTGATTCTTAATTACATATGCTTCTTTCATTAATTTTTAGGGTAATTCTTCTTCGTTCAATGCTTGTTATGTTTAACTCATTCATGGCATGATGTATGATTTGCTTGAGTACCGGGAGGTATCTTACAATTCAGGTTCTGGAGAATTGCTCCCAAAAGTAGTATTGCTCAAGGATGGGGATATGAGTTTTGGTTGTCTTAAGCTACTAATTGTAATGCAGAATTATTTATTAGGGATGCAAGGGATTGTGGCCTAGTAATTAAGGATAGGCTTTCTTCGTCGAGGGATCGGGTTTTAAGTACTTTAGATAGTGACATTGGCATTAATGAAGAAGAAGAATTCTTTTATGCATGAGAGTAAACTAGGTGAAGTCTAAACCCCAACAACATATTCATCTCATAATACCAATATCATCCGTTCATCTTTGTGCTTCTGTCCAATTGATCAAATTGCATGCATATTTACTTTTTCTGTATTTGCATATAAAACCAAAAATTGTTTATCAACATTCTAATTAGCTAAGTAATCACATGACTGTTTAGGCCATGAGTCTCTTGGGAAACGATACTTGGTCTTACCAAACTATTATTACTTGATACAATTCGGTACACTTGCCGATATCTTAACATGTATACGGGAAGAAGAATGTGGTTCTTGACTTTGAGGGGCATCTCAAATGGTTGACTGTAGGAGATGATTATTTTTGCTGCTAGTCTGTTGTATATTGGCTATTTTAGATTAGTGAGTTAGAGAGGTTGTTTACATTTTGACAGTGAGGTCGCTGTAAAAACCTTGTTGTAAATACTTAGATCTTATAGTGCAATTGGCTTTTGGTCTAAGGTTGATCGAGAGGACACTGGATGTAGGCTTGGCCGAACCAGTATAAAAACTCAGAGTTTGAATCCTCTTCTCCCTATCTCTCTGCATTTAATCGATTGCATATTATCTGTATTCGAATACACATACTGTTACATTGCATACATTTTTACTTGTGATTCAAGAAAAGTTTAAAGACTTACAATTTTGCTAAAAAGATTTCAAAAGCGATCATTTTTATACAACACCAATTCACCCCTCCCCCCTCCCTCTTGGTGTGAGAAACGAAGCACATCTTTTTTAACACCTGCCATAAAACTGATGACGCCAACCATGTGGCCAAGTTATTTTTCAAGGAAGTGGTGAGACTACATGGTATTCCAAGGAGCATTGTGTTAGATAGAGATGTAAAATTTGTTAGCCATTGTTGAAAGGTATTGTGGGGCAAGTTAGGTACAAAATTTCTCTTCTCTACAATGTGTCATCCCTATACGGATGGACAAACCGAAATGGTAAATCAAACTCTTTCTCAACTCCTTAGATGCTTTGTAAATAAAAATTTGAGAGCTTGAGAGGAATGGATACATCATGTGGAATTTGCTTATATTAGGGTAGTTCATTCTACTACTTGTATGTCTGCATTTAAGGTAGTCTATGGTTTTAACCCTCTAAGTCCCTTAGATTTGTTGCCTTTGCCTAATATTGATTCTATGACTAACGAAGATGATCTTGCCAAAGCTACTTTTGTTAGGAACTTGCATTAGGAAATGAAGGACAAATTGAAAAGAAGATGGAGAAACTAGCTTCTAAAGTTAACCAAGGGAAGAAGAAGATGAAGTTTGAGCCGGAGATTGGGTGTGGGTACAACTTAGGAAGGAAAGGTTTCCTTCCAAAAGGAAATATAAGCTCCTACCTAGAGGAGATGGACCTTTTCAAGTTCTTAAGAAAATTAATGATAATGCTTACATTGTTGACCTACCTAATGATTATGGAGTAAGTTCTAGTTTCAACATTAATGATTTGTCTCCATTTAATGTAGGTACTAATTTGGATACAAATTCACTTCAAGAAGGAGGGAATGATAGAGGACTATCCCATGATTCTATAGAAGACGAACTTGAGGAAGACCCTTTACAATTCAAAGGACCTATGACAAGGTCAAGGAGCAAAGAGTTGGAAGAACAAATCTCCTTTCAGCTCATGATGCTCCATGAAGATTGGAATTCAAGGGACATGTCATGACTTGGAGCATAATTATATAATAGTTTAGGAAATTAAAAATATTTGAAATTTTCTTTTAATAGCAAATAATTTGTTTCTGTTTTCTTTTTTTTTTAATTTTGAATTATTTTTCGCTCAAAGCCTTTAAGCTTTCTTTTGGGGTTTCTTAGGTACCTTAAACATTTGTTCCTATATATAGGGGCACCAAATACATATGTAGACACTTTTGAGTCATAATTGTTGATAGGGGGAGCCATGTAAATGTTGAACCCAATTCTTGTGTTTGTTTTTGATGATGACAACACATTGGCTGTAACAACACAGATGTTGTCATGACACAACATAAATGTGTTTTTTGTGTTTAATACATATGTGGATATATAAATGCTTATTGGTAATTAATGCACATGTTGGACATACTGTTGTTTCTGCATACTATTGTGATACTGATGTTATTATATCTTGGTATACATATTGTATGTTTCTCTGTAATGAAAACCACAAGCACAAAAGCTTAAAATTTGATAATTGGCATAACAGTAAGTTTGAATCGATTACATTAGTTGGTGAATCGATTAAAACTCATGTCTTTGCATATATCATTTTCAAATGTGTTGTGATGAATTTTGAAGAAAAGTTTTCAAAATCTGTATAAGTGTTAAGCTTAATCGATTACACCTTTTATGTAATCACTTAAGTTTGTTCACTTTGACAACTGATTTCATGCTAGTCCTAACGACTTTAACAGTCATATTTTTAAATAAGTTTAACCAGCATTAAATGTAAATCGATTACATAAATTGAGCATTAATTTAAGAGCTGAGTTAGTTGTAATTCTGTTACATCTGGTTTTTTAATTATGTAACCGATTACATAAGTAAAGTAATCGATTTATTTGCGTCAGAACTGATAAATACTATAAATTGACGCATGACTTGTAATTCTAAAACGATTTGATCATATTGTACACTTTCACATCTGACATACTTGATCTAAGATAGTTTTATAGATTGTAATACTCTCCAAGAATCAAGAACATGAAGAATTTGAAGAATCTTAAAGCATTCTTGAGAGGCATTTACTGGACTGTATTGGCTGATCAAACTCGCACTACTCAGATGTATCTTTTGTGATCAGAAAATGTTTCTGAAATCAGTGATTGTGGTGTTTCCCAGTACATGGTCGACAGGAAGAAGAGTGAGGAGCTCTTGGACTTTGAGAGGGGATTCTCAAAGGGTTTCTACAACAAGAACTGGTGTTTCTGTGTGTGCAGGTGTATTGTGTTATATATTTGATTATTGAGCGAGGAAGGTGTTTACATTTATGAGAATGCGTTCACTGTAAAACCTTTATTGTAATTCTCAAATCAGTATAGTGAAATATCCTTCAATCAGATATTGATTGGAAGGGTGACTGGATGTAGGCATTGAGGCCGAACCAGGATAAAAATCTTGAGTTTGCTCTTCTTTCTCTATCTCTTCATTTTACATTGCATACGCACTTTACTTACAATGCAAGAAAGTTTAAAAGATCATTCTAATTCTGCAAAAAGATTTGAAAAGTGCACGTTTTTATAAATCACCAATTGACCCCCCCCCTCCCGCCCCTCTAGGTGTTAAGAAACAAGTCTCATCATATCTAACAATAATATATGCATTTTCATTTTTTTGGAGAGGATTCTCTTCGTTCTTGGTTTAGAACTATGATTCTTATCTAAGATTAACATCTTTGTGGCGAATCTTCACTTGACTTATCAATCTGCTAGATTGTGGCGTCCCCATCTCTGTCTTATTTTTCGTTCTTCTCTGATTTATTTTTATTGTGCTCTTGAGAATTCAAATTCAAAAAAGATCATAATCTTTCCTAGACAGGATCGTATCAGGAGTTGTATTGTTGCATACTCCTCAGGAGAGAAACCTAACTCCAATACCTTTAGTTCACATGAGTTATACATTGATGAGGATTTTATTAGTTGATCACCATATACACTCTTCATGAAGGGGCTTCAACTATCTACTTCGTGTCATTGGCACAAGATAATGATAGGGTGGTGGCTGAGGAAGTTCAAGTTGGTGAAGCTTAAATGCTTATACCTTTGATGAAGTTCAAGTAGGGTACATACCTTGAAAACTTCAAGCAAGGTATGTTCTTAAATTTAATTATATATTTGTAGGTTTAATGTCTCGTTAGGTCTCTATTTTCGTCCAAAATCTCAAATAGGTCCCCTTCTTTTTCGGCGTCTCAATTAGATTCTTATTTTGTGAAAATTGCATCAATTAGACCCTTACCGTTAAATTAGACCTAACGATGTTACTGAATATTTGACGTGGCACGTTAGATTATATTTTTAAATGACATGGCTAATGATTTGGATTTGAGTTATTTTAAAATTAAAAAAGAATTAGGATCCTTTTTACAGCATCATCATCTTCACCAATTCCATCCCATAATCCTTATCTGCTCCATCATATCCTCATCATCCTTGTATACTCCATCATATGTTCATCGTAATCATCATCCCTTCTTCTATCATCCTTATTTTTGCAACACCAATTGATAATCTTTAGACAGAAACAAACTAACCTAGCCCAATCAGAAAGAGCAATTGAAAAACAGGAAAGAGCAATCAGAAAGAGCAATCGGTAAACGAAGAAATTCACAAACATGGAAGAAAGGAAGAATCTAAACCTAAAACTAATATACTAAAATTGAAAAAACATGGGATCAGATCTTGCGATCGCTTTGGGGCGCTTGAACTTCTTCACTCGCTTCTTCACGATCTTTTTTGAGATCAAGGGTACCGCCATTTTTACTAACCTCAGTTAGGGTTTCCCTACCGGAGAAATTTGCTTCTCAACATTTATAAAACATGAAAATTAATATGGGCTAGGTTTTTGCAGAACGGGGCCCAAACTAGACTCGCTTCTTTGCCTTTTGTTTTGAGCCATGAACTTGAAAGTTTATCTCTGCACCACCCCAATAACGCATCGCCGCAGCACACCTCCGTCACCTCCACCAAACCCAAACCTGCAAACCACAAAACCAAAAGGAGTTCATCCTAAATCCCAATCGCGATAAACCCTAGTTCGTGAAACACTACCATCGACCTCGCTGTCAACCCCGAGCCTCCATGGCCACCATGCCGCAATAACAACCATGCCGCCACCTAAACACATTGAAGCCTCCATGGAAACCCTGCAAATAAAAAAATCACAAAGCCACCAGAGAGCCCTCTCTGGGCCTTCAAATCGCAAAATGAGAAACCTTTCGCATCCACCGTTGGCCTTCAAAAAACATCCTCCCCAATTGACAGGCAGTAGCGTAATAGAGATAACAAAGATGGTGGCAGCATGAAGGAGATGACGGCAATCTGACCATGGTTGTCAATTTCTTTTGAAAAAAATAAAAATAAATAAGACAGATCAGAATATAATAAATTCCACGTCATTTAAAAATATAGTCCAATGTGCCACGTCAAATATACAGTAACGGCGTTAGGTCCAATTTAACGGTAAGGGTCTAATTGATGCAATTTTCACAAAATAAAGATCCAATTGAGACGCCGAAAAAAAAAGGGACCTATTTGAGATTCTGGACGAAAATAGGGACCTACTAAGACATTAAACCTATATTTGTATCAATATCAACAAATATTTCAATATGTAGTTTTCACTCACTAATTGATTATATTTTTGTTAGGAGATAAAGTGCCAAAGCAAACAAGTTCCTTTCATTCAAAACATTGTTATATTGAAAGATCATATTCATGAGTAGGTGGCACTTGGCCTAGATCTTTTCCATCATTCTTTCTACTTACAATGACATGTTTTCCTATTTAGAATCATCAATAAGAACATCTCATTGTACATAAAAGAAAACTATGTGCTATAAATTATTTCAAACAACCACTAAGTGTAAGTATATAGATTCTTTCAAACTTCTAAAAGAAAATGGGATAGATTTAATCTTTCATACAAATATTTTGTATTATGAATTTATAAACAATTTCACTATTACATAAGGCGTTGATAATAATTTTTTGGTAGCATAATCCATCCAAAAGAGGGAAAATAAAAAGAATAATTGTTAAAGATATATTCAATAATGGTTGCATCAATCTAGGAAAGACATTTTTCTTCAACAATACTACCATGAGTAAGTTACTAATTGATTCTTTGTAATTTATCGTTTCGGTCTAACATATTATTTTTTTATTGTAGTAATCATTGGCAATTAATTGTCTAAAGAAAAATGTTATCATTTGGTTATGCTTCTTACAAACTAACCTAAAAGTTGAAAGCATAAGTAAAAATTTTAAATTTAACTAAGTTTGATATCAATGGTAATGTATCACCACTTATTTATTTATGTTTTCATATTTAGCGTTATAAAGGCATACAGTATGATGAGTGTACATCATATTAGTCGCCTTAAGATTATACAATGGATTAAAGATAATTAGCATCAATCTTCTCAACTTCTTGTTCATATTTAGTTATCTAACTAAATGTTGATATGGAACAACATGCCTAGATAGAAATGACCCTAAGAACTAAACAAGAACAATTAAGAAATGAAATTAAAAGACTTAAAATGGAAGAGAGAAAGTAGAGGAAACTTATGAATTGGAAGGCATGCCACTTGAAAGGATCCAAGATAAATGCCACGNACAGGATCGTATCAGGAGTTGTATTGTTGCATACTCCTCAGGAGAGAAACCTAACTCCAATACCTTTAGTTCACATGAGTTATACATTGATGAGGATTTTATTAGTTGATCACCATATACACTCTTCATGAAGGGGCTTCAACTATCTACTTCGTGTCATTGGCACAAGATAATGATAGGGTGGTGGCTGAGGAAGTTCAAGTTGGTGAAGCTTAAATGCTTATACCTTTGATGAAGTTCAAGTAGGGTACATACCTTGAAAACTTCAAGCAAGGTATGTTCTTAAATTTAATTATATATTTGTAGGTTTAATGTCTCGTTAGGTCTCTATTTTCGTCCAAAATCTCAAATAGGTCCCCTTCTTTTTCGGCGTCTCAATTAGATTCTTATTTTGTGAAAATTGCATCAATTAGACCCTTACCGTTAAATTAGACCTAACGATGTTACTGAATATTTGACGTGGCACGTTAGATTATATTTTTAAATGACATGGCTAATGATTTGGATTTGAGTTATTTTAAAATTAAAAAAGAATTAGGATCCTTTTTACAGCATCATCATCTTCACCAATTCCATCCCATAATCCTTATCTGCTCCATCATATCCTCATCATCCTTGTATACTCCATCATATGTTCATCGTAATCATCATCCCTTCTTCTATCATCCTTATTTTTGCAACACCAATTGATAATCTTTAGACAGAAACAAACTAACCTAGCCCAATCAGAAAGAGCAATTGAAAAACAGGAAAGAGCAATCAGAAAGAGCAATCGGTAAACGAAGAAATTCACAAACATGGAAGAAAGGAAGAATCTAAACCTAAAACTAATATACTAAAATTGAAAAAACATGGGATCAGATCTTGCGATCGCTTTGGGGCGCTTGAACTTCTTCACTCGCTTCTTCACGATCTTTTTTGAGATCAAGGGTACCGCCATTTTTACTAACCTCAGTTAGGGTTTCCCTACCGGAGAAATTTGCTTCTCAACATTTATAAAACATGAAAATTAATATGGGCTAGGTTTTTGCAGAACGGGGCCCAAACTAGACTCGCTTCTTTGCCTTTTGTTTTGAGCCATGAACTTGAAAGTTTATCTCTGCACCACCCCAATAACGCATCGCCGCAGCACACCTCCGTCACCTCCACCAAACCCAAACCTGCAAACCACAAAACCAAAAGGAGTTCATCCTAAATCCCAATCGCGATAAACCCTAGTTCGTGAAACACTACCATCGACCTCGCTGTCAACCCCGAGCCTCCATGGCCACCATGCCGCAATAACAACCATGCCGCCACCTAAACACATTGAAGCCTCCATGGAAACCCTGCAAATAAAAAAATCACAAAGCCACCAGAGAGCCCTCTCTGGGCCTTCAAATCGCAAAATGAGAAACCTTTCGCATCCACCGTTGGCCTTCAAAAAACATCCTCCCCAATTGACAGGCAGTAGCGTAATAGAGATAACAAAGATGGTGGCAGCATGAAGGAGATGACGGCAATCTGACCATGGTTGTCAATTTCTTTTGAAAAAAATAAAAATAAATAAGACAGATCAGAATATAATAAATTCCACGTCATTTAAAAATATAGTCCAATGTGCCACGTCAAATATACAGTAACGGCGTTAGGTCCAATTTAACGGTAAGGGTCTAATTGATGCAATTTTCACAAAATAAAGATCCAATTGAGACGCCGAAAAAAAAAGGGACCTATTTGAGATTCTGGACGAAAATAGGGACCTACTAAGACATTAAACCTATATTTGTATCAATATCAACAAATATTTCAATATGTAGTTTTCACTCACTAATTGATTATATTTTTGTTAGGAGATAAAGTGCCAAAGCAAACAAGTTCCTTTCATTCAAAACATTGTTATATTGAAAGATCATATTCATGAGTAGGTGGCACTTGGCCTAGATCTTTTCCATCATTCTTTCTACTTACAATGACATGTTTTCCTATTTAGAATCATCAATAAGAACATCTCATTGTACATAAAAGAAAACTATGTGCTATAAATTATTTCAAACAACCACTAAGTGTAAGTATATAGATTCTTTCAAACTTCTAAAAGAAAATGGGATAGATTTAATCTTTCATACAAATATTTTGTATTATGAATTTATAAACAATTTCACTATTACATAAGGCGTTGATAATAATTTTTTGGTAGCATAATCCATCCAAAAGAGGGAAAATAAAAAGAATAATTGTTAAAGATATATTCAATAATGGTTGCATCAATCTAGGAAAGACATTTTTCTTCAACAATACTACCATGAGTAAGTTACTAATTGATTCTTTGTAATTTATCGTTTCGGTCTAACATATTATTTTGTTATTGTAGTAATCATTGGCAATTAATTGTCTAAAGAAAAATGTAATCATTTGGTTATGCTTCTTACAAACTAACCTAAAAGTTGAAAGCATAAGTAAAAATTTTAAATTTAACTAAGTTTGATATCAATGGTAATGTATCACCACTTATTTATTTATGTTTTCATATTTAGCGTTATAAAGGCATACAGTATGATGAGTGTACATCATATTAGTCGCCTTAAGATTATACAATGGATTAAAGATAATTAGCATCAATCTTCTCAACTTCTTGTTCATATTTAGTTATCTAACTAAATGTTGATATGGAACAACATGCCTAGATAGAAATGACCCTAAGAACTAAACAAGAACAATTAAGAAATGAAATTAAAAGACTTAAAATGGAAGAGAGAAAGTAGAGGAAACTTATGAATTGGAAGGCATGCCACTTGAAAGGATCCAAGATAAATGCCACGGAGGATTGCCACTTGTTCTTCAAAATAAGACCCAAAATTAGACTAAGTGACAACATTCTATCTCAAAGAAGTAATGCAATTGAATTCAAAACACTCTTTATATTCAAATTTGAAGGTGTTCAAGGTGTGTGTACAAAGGAGACCTTAGGTTGCTTATATAGCCTTGGGAGATGATGTAGATGGAGAAAACTAATGGATGTGGTGGGACTTGGAGGCCTTCAATTCTGGACAGCAGCTCCCAAGGTTGTTTTAAGTCCCACATCTCTTAATTCTTTAACTTTTTAAGGGCATATAAGCTACCTAACTAGTTTAAAGATCAAAACTAAAACTATACATGAGCTAACTTGCAATACAAGCAACTAAAAGGAGAAGAGACTTATTTATTCTTCTTTCTTTTAAGTCCAAGCTATGTTAAATCCCACGTTGCTTGCTAGGGCTGGGCATAGTTCAATAAACTGTATTGTAACTACAGTTAACCATATTATAATGTACTTAAAAACACTAAATTTGTTTTAACTAAAAACTAAATAAACTATTCTATAGTACAGTTAAAAGAAACTGAACTTTACAGAGTTTGAGTACAGTTAACTGGAACCACAGATTTTTCTTTTAATAAAAAATTTCACCCCAAATTGAAACCTTCGAAGCTAGCCATGGTAAGATGCATTTAGGGTGATATATATGCTTACACGACATTTCCCTCACTGCGGTACCTAATTCAAAAGCTTCTTTGCACACCGCACAGTGTGATTCCATGGCTAAGTGAGTGTTATCAATTTCGATGGTTGGTAAGGAATCTATGGCTGCTTTTGACGCAGGAGGGTGCTCATACCTTCCAATACCGTTGATCTCAATCTGAGACAGTTGCTCCAGAAGCCTATCGAATCCAAATCCGAGTAGAAACTCTGACATGCTCGGAGGCATGGGTCTTAAGCCAGAACCGGCACCATCATCGTAGAAAAGCTCAAAGCCTCGGCTTTCCTCCTCGCTAGTAGTGGAGGTGGCAGTTGCGCTGCCGCGGAGGACGATAACGGGGTTGAAGGGGGAGCGGTCACCACCGTTGTTGCGGGTGCGGCGCAGGAAGGGACGGACAGCGTTGTCGGAGGCAGGACGCTGGCCGATCATGTACATGGCGACAGCAGGGAAGCGACGATGGCGAGGGTCGAGGTGGACTGAGCGCGGCGGGTGTTCGATTTCTTCGATGAATCCGCAGTCGCAGTCGGGACAGACCACGGATGTGAGGATTCAAGTTTAATTTCTTAGTTGCTGCTAGGGTAGTATTATTGTTGATGTTTTTTGTACCAGTTTACTGAATTGTACTAGTGTATCTGAACTAAAAACTAGTTCAGTTCAATTTCTTTGAACTATTTTTTAGTTCAGTTCAGTTCACTTGAACTATTTTATAGTTAACTACAATTATTTATAGTACAGTGCACTGAACTGCATTTTGCCCACTCCTATTGCTTGCACCTTAAAGAAAAGAAGAGTATATAAGCTTCTTTACAACTAATCTAAGAGAAAGAAACTAGAAACTAAAATAGGCAAAATACAAGCCTAAGAAAACCTATGCTATTTCTTTTTATGTTTCTTGTCACTCTTAAAACTCTTCTTTCTTGCCCCATCTATGATCATATCATCATGATATGGAACAACATGCCTAGATAGAAATGAGCCTAAGAACTAAACAAGAACAGTTAAGAAATGGAATTAAAAGACTTAAAATGTAAGAGAGAAAGGAGAGGAAACTTATGAATTGGAAGGCATGCCACTTGAAAGGATCCAAGATAAATTCCAAGGAGGATCGCCACTTGTTCTTCAAAATAAGACCCAAAATTAGACTAAGTGACAAAATTCTATCTCAAAGAAGTAATGCAATTGAATTCAAAACACTCTTTATATTCAAATTTGAAGGTGTTCAAGGTGTGTGTACAAAGGAGACCTTATGTTGCTTATATAGCCTTGGGAGATGAAGTAGATGGAGAAAACTAATGAATGTGGGACTTGGAGGCCTTCAATTCTGGGCAGCAGCTCCCAAGGTTGTTTTAAGTCCCACATCTCTTAATTCTTTAACTTTTTAAGGGTATATAAGCTACCTAACTAGTTTAAAGTTCAAAACTAAAATTATACATGAGCTAACTTGCAATACAAGCAACTAAAAGGAGAAGAGACTTATTTATTCTTCTTTCTTTTAAGTCCAAGCTATGTGAAATTCCACATTGCTTTCACCTTAAAGAAAAGAAGAGTATATAAACTTCTTTACAATTAATCTAAGAGAAAGAAACTATAAACTAAAATAGGTAAAATATAAGCCTAAGAAAACCTATGTTATTTCTTTTTATGCTTCTTGTTACTCTTAACACTCTTCATTCTTGCCCCATCTATGATCATATCAAATGTTCATTATGTTATAGTGTAATAGACAACAAAGTGACATAAATATATGTATTATGTGATCTATTAGATGTGAGATATAATTTTAAACCATGTGATGATCTCTTCATTATAAACAACTAACTTTACAACTTTAATTCTCACATTATGTTTAACTTTCAAAATTATTTCCAAAACTTTAGCATACTAGGAAAGATCTTACATCAAATACTCTCAATATAATGAAAATGTTAAGACAAGATCGTCTAAAGACTAGACCGTTTAAACAACTCAGGTTTTGAAGTTTAATAAAAAGCATTAAACAAAATATCCCTTTGTATGATATCATGTTTTAAGAAATAATGTTTAAAAGAAAAAAAAATTAACATCCTTTATAGACAAAATCAAGCTTATATAACGTTTACTAAATTGTAATGTTTTATGAACAACATCTTAATGCCTAAACGAACAACGTCTTACAATCTAGCCTTTTATGAACATGAAGTGTCTATCTCTATTCAAGCAAAGCATCTTATGAAATGCACTGTCTAATATATAACTGTTAAATGCTAGATATGTACAAACTACTATTAATAAGGGTCTTATGTTTTACACCATCTAATGACCATATATGTTGTTTGCTTTACCAAACGATGCATTTATTAATGAAATGACAAATGATAAAATATTTTGAACACGCAATACAGCCTAACGCTTATCAACATTCAAAATATTTAATGCATGTACGATAAAGTGTTTTGATGCTTGTATACATTTTCTTGATATTTTGGTATATCACTATAGCAGAAAGTTATGAACAGAATCACTATACCTAAGAAAAAGACGTTAAGAGATATGAAAAACATTCTTGGAATGTTTCCCCCAAAGCCTTCTGCTTTGTCACATTGTACAAGCTTTGTTTTGATAAAGGCTATGATAAAGACTTGAGTCTGACTTCTCACCTAAAGGCTACCTGCTCTACTTGAAGTAAAGCTCTTTGTCTAACTATCATTTCTTAAGAAAAACTATAAATAAACGAAAGCTTGAAGAGAAGATAAGAAAGATAATTTTGTGAACTCGTGAACGCTAAAACAAGCTTATTATGCTCATATATTGTCTGAAGCTAAAATTTCTAAAAGAGAAAAACCTTAGCAATATCTCATATTTTTTTGTATTGTTTCTATCCTTTCTTTAAGAATTATCAATATGTATTTTCTCATAACACTGTTTGTGTTGTATATTCTGAAGAGAATTTAAATACTTGGTGTTTAACTCAGTTGAGTTATATAGTCTAGACGTGTTGTCGAGGGTTGAGACTAGAAGTCGTTAGAATACTTGTAAACTAGGAATGGTTAAACTCTGACTATTCATGTTGACTGGGTGAACCAGAAGTGGTCAGAATACTCGTTGTAAACCTAGAGAGTAAAACTCATGTAATCTTCTTGAAGGTTAGTGAAACCCCTTAAGAGTTCTTAAGAAAGATCTGAATGTAGATTAGGTTGAGTGAACCAGTATAAAATATGAGTGAATGTAGTTCCATTTACGTACTTCATAAAAACCAGCATTTAAAGATCTTATATAAATTATATATATTTTACAATCCATTAGACGTTGCTTTGTGAAAGATTTTTAAAAATACTATTCATCCCCTTTAGTATTTTCTTGTAATTTAAAAAAAAAGTACATTACTAATGTGGACAAAATCCTATAAAAAATAAAAAAACATTTAAAATACTTTATTTTCAAATATTCAAACAATATGATTTCAAATATTAGACAATACATAAATATGCCTTTTAATATATATTTGGGTCAATATTTTTAATATAAGTGTCTTTTGATATATGTTTGTCAAATTTTTTTACATTTGTCAAATTAGTTCATCTTATAGGATTTGGTCCTACTCTACATGGATTTGGACCAAAAAAGCCAACGAGGCCAAAAAAGTCCTTTATTAAAAAAGTCCACAAGATCAAATATCAATAAAGTTATACGGGCTTAGATCAACCCATAATCATGACTATTTTATTTAGGTTAAATATGTCTTTTGGTCCTCATATTTGTTCGCGAATCTCAACTGGTTCCTCATTTTTTTGGTCCCAATTGAATCCAAATACTTGCTAATTTGAGGCAATAAAGCCCTCTCTGTTAATTTTCGACTGACGCCGTCTAACAGTGATGACGTGAATGCAGACATTAGTAGCTCATTTATAGTGATTCAATTACGTGGAAATTTGATTTTAAAAAATTAGTTTTTGACATGGATATTTGTATTTAGGGATTTTGTTTACTGAAGTTGCATTACGGGATTAGGGATTGCTATCTGGTGAGTTAGGGATTTAACTTGGGGAGTGAATGAAAATTAGGGATTGCATTTCGCAAGAAGAAGAAGTAGACGAAGACAATCACATGGAGGTGGAGGAACCGAAGTGAAAGTTTACGCCAGTTAAGGTTAGTATGATGTGTGCTATCTTTATGCGTTGTGGTCCCGATTTTGTTTCGTTTACGCGGATGAACTGATACTGCGTTCTTTATGCTTTGTGGTCCTGATTTTGTTGTTCTATCTTTATAACATGTGTGTGCTATGTTCTTGCTTTGTTGTTCTATGATGGGTCACGAATTTGGTATCTTATTGTATGATGGGGCACAATTTTGCATCTTGAAATGTCTACTATATTGCACACATTGTGGTCCCAAATTTTCATTTTTCAAATTGTATAGAAGTAGTGGTCCCCTTGCCTGTGTGAGTGTTTCCCTAGTGGGATGTAATCTGTACTGATGAAGGAACAATGTTTTATCAGTTATCTTTTGGTGTAATTTCATTAGGTTGTTGTTATCAGGTTTGTTATGCACTGAGTAAGATAATGTAATTTGCATTGGTGTAATATGTATTAGGTTGTTATCTTTTGGTGTAATTTCATCAGGTTTGTTATGAGGTTTTGTCATTGTAAGACAATGTTTGTTTTGTTATAAGATATTATNAGAAGTAATGCAATTGAATTCAAAACACTCTTTATATTCAAATTTGAAGGTGTTCAAGGTGTGTGTACAAAGGAGACCTTATGTTGCTTATATAGCCTTGGGAGATGAAGTAGATGGAGAAAACTAATGAATGTGGGACTTGGAGGCCTTCAATTCTGGGCAGCAGCTCCCAAGGTTGTTTTAAGTCCCACATCTCTTAATTCTTTAACTTTTTAAGGGTATATAAGCTACCTAACTAGTTTAAAGTTCAAAACTAAAATTATACATGAGCTAACTTGCAATACAAGCAACTAAAAGGAGAAGAGACTTATTTATTCTTCTTTCTTTTAAGTCCAAGCTATGTGAAATTCCACATTGCTTACACCTTAAAGAAAAGAAGAGTATATAAACTTCTTTACAATTAATCTAAGAGAAAGAAACTAGAAACTAAAATAGGTAAAATATAAGCCTAAGAAAACCTATGCTATTTCTTTTTATGCTTCTTGTTACTCTTAACACTCTTCATTCTTGCCCCATCTATGATCATATCAAATGTTCATTATGTTATAGTGTAATAGACAACAAAGTGACATAAATATATGTATTATGTGATCTATTAGATGTGAGATATAATTTTAAACCATGTGATGATCTCTTCATTATAAACAACTAACTTTACAACTTTAATTCTCACATTATGTTTAACTTTCAAAATTATTTCCAAAACTTTAGCATACTAGGAAAGATCTTACATCAAATACTCTCAATATAATGAAAATGTTAAGACAAGATCGTCTAAAGACTAGACCGTTTAAACAACTCAGGTTTTGAAGTTTAATAAAAAGCATTAAACAAAATATCCCTTTGTATGATATCATGTTTTAAGAAATAATGTTTAA